AAGATAACGTGACTCACACAACTGAAGAAGTCGCAACTGAGACCTTAGAACAAGACCTTGGCTCAGAACTCAACCCAAACCCCAACCGCCAACCTATAGATAGGGTGGGGGCTCCAGAAATGGGACGTGTTGAGAACGAAACCTTAGACAAGGCAGGCACAAGCAAGGCCTCATCAAACACGCGTTCTGAAACAGAAAATTTATCGGCTTCGGAAAGTCTAACGGAGACAGAAGAGGAACCTTCTGGAACGAATTCCGAAAAGTCAGATGATCTGCATGACATGCAAAGTAACAATGACGAAATCCAAGCCACAGAAAATTTGAATGAAACAGAACCTCAACAAAAGCATCAATGGTCAAGCCTATTCACCAAATTACGCAGAGGAAAAGCAACTTATACTACGTTTGTGCCCAGAAGTCATATTCATACCAAGAATGAGAACGCTTTAATCTTTGACATCAGAAGTCTGGATAAATTTTCCACGAATGATTTAATTCTAAACATGTATACAAAAATCGGTGATAATTTTATTGCCACCAAGCCCCATTTTACTAATGGAAAGCGCACTCACTTAGAGATCATTTTCACCAATGTGGAAAAACAAAAGAAATATGCTATTGATGGTATGGTACTGTTCAAACAAAATATTATAGGTTACATTCCAACAAATCTTAGAAGAAACTACCTACCAGTCAATCTTAGAAATGTCCCATTAGGACACAAAGAATTCATCTCTAAACAAGTCAAGGAGGCCTTTGAGGACATAGGCTCGATCACATCTATTAAACCACTGGTATTCGAAGGAACCCCGATAAGCACTAACCAGTGGGTGATCATATTCGAGATAACGAATGACCCAGATCTCGCAGAGAGACTACCTAGACACACACATATCTGGGATCAAAAGGTACAAATAGAATGGAAAGAAGCACCCAAGGTGTGTTTCTATTGTGACGAATCAGGACATATCAAACAGAATTGTCCAGAATACAAAACATCAGTTGAACTTAGAATACTACAGAAAAAAAGAAAAGAACAGTTAAGGAACATGAATAAGGAAGCATGGCAAAAGAATCCTACAACGGAAGCAGCTACTTACAGCACAAATAATCCGTATATAGGAAACAACGTGCATGAAATGCAAGATCTACACAACCAACAAGAGCACATTAATTCGGGTAACACCCAGATCCATCCACAAAGGATGTAACTTTTCCTATCGGTGCCCCAGTAGAAGAAAAAGAGAAAATGGCTTCTGAAACAAGTTCTTTCAATAAAGCAACTGAGACAATGAACGTCGAGTTTCAGGAAAAAGATCTAAATGTAAGCCAAGAGCCAACATCAGCCGTCCACACTCAAGCGAGCTCTACATCAGAGATCTCCGCAAATAGTATGGATGAAGACCCAAAAGACATTCCGGTACCTACACAAGAGACATCAGATGATGGTTTCACCCTGGTTACAAATAAAAAAAAAGATAATAGAAAAAGGAAAAGTCCCATAGCAGCCCACGATAGACAGAGCCCTTACAAAAGGCCCAAGAGAACGGAGGTACGTCAAGTACAATGCTGATAACAACAAACCCCAAAATTATTTAATCATGAGACAAAAAATAAAAGTAGCTACACTCAACGTAAAGGGTCCTAATAATAGACACAAATACCAAAAGACCCTAATACTACTCAAATCTTACCATATAGACTTAATTTTATTACAGGAGACTAACCTGAACAATGAAAGTATGAGGAGATTTTTGGCCCAACAATGGACATACAACTCATATTGGTCGTCCAAAGCGGCGATTCTAGCGGGAAACAAGGACATCACCTATAGTAATATAGAAGAATCATATGATGGCAGGGTTATCACAGTACAGTGCAAAGTTAGAGACAAAATCTTAAGGGTAACAAATGTGTATGCCCTGCCCAGTATAGCAGAGAGAGAATCTTTTCTAAATGAGTGGACCCCACACTCGACACAGAAGCAATCAATATACTAGGAGGTGATTTTAACATCAACCTCAACCCTCAAGTAGATAGATTAAGCACGTCTAAAGCTCACAGTGACTCAACAAGAGAAAAACTTAGAGATCGATTAATTGGCCTCACGGATACTGCAGAAATCTCAGCAGACAAACCGTTTTTCACGTTCTTCCAAATGACAAAAGGCCACCACAATATGGCTACGAGACTTGATTACATCTTTATTGATGATAATTATATTCAATTCTGTAAAAAAGTAGAAACACGTTACGGGAATTCGGACCATCTCCTAGTCGAATGCACCCTGGACTTCACATCCTCCACCCAAAATGCAGCATATTGGAAATTTGACGACAAATGCTTCAATAACAAAAAACTAAAAGAGGAAATCGCAGAGGAGATCTGAGATTTTGAAAATCTGGAGAACTGGGACTTCCAAAAATGTTGTATGCAATCAATCATACGTGCCTACAAGCCACCAAAGTCTCCAGAAAGCCGTATACAAAAACTGAACAAAGAGATCACAAAGTTAAGGACAAAATCAGCAAAAAATCTAGAACAAACAGACCTGAACACCATGATAGAGTTTTTGTCCCTTCAACTCCAGGAAGAACTAACTACCCTAGCCAATAAATGGCAAAAAAGATCCAACTCACAATGGATCGAAAAGGGGAAACGTTCTACCAAATATTTTTTCTCCTGCTTCAAAGTAAGACATACAACAAACGCAGTCTCCAAAATTCATATTCCTGATGCTCCCGACGAATCACAACCTAGTAGAATCATAGAGTTTATTAAAGACACTTATGAGAATATTTACAAAGAGGAGGCTATTAACAGAAGGGCTGTGGAGGAACTAATGGCTGACCTACCAAAAATCACAGAAGAACACAATGCAGCCCTTCTAAAAAGTATCACAAAAGAAGAAATTGAGTCCATTGTAAATAGCCTTCCAAATAACAAAGCCCCAGGACTTGATGGCTTTACTTACGAATTCTATAAAGCCTCGAAAGAAGTTATAATACCAACCTTAGAGTGCTTATTTAACGAGATCCTGGAGAAAAGCACTCTACCAAAATCGTGGACCAAGAACATAATAACATTGGTTCCTAAGAAGTCAGAGAAGTTAGAGGAAGTAGGTAACTGGCATCTTATTTCACTTATAAACTGCGACTGTAAGATCTTCATGAAAATCTTAGCCGTCAGACTCAGCAAAATATGTGAAAAGATGGTAGGTGACCATCAGCAAGGTTTTATAGCCTGTAGATTCATAACAGAAACAGCACTAAACATAATAATGACACTAAGAAATCAAGAAGACCAAACAAAGCAACACTGGATGCTATTTCTAGATCAGAAAAAGGCATTCGATAGGGTCAACTACCAATTCCTACAACTCATATTAGAGAAAATAAACTTCGATCCAAACTTTATAGAAATAGTCAGAAATCTATTTGTAGAACAATCAGCATACATATCAGATGCTGAGATACTATCTGAACCCTTCAAGATTAATAGAGGGGCGCGGCAAGGAGACCCTCTATCACCCTTACTCTATATTCTGGCATTTGAACCTTTTCTTCATGCTATTAAAACTAACTTAAGAGGAATTCAGATCAACAATGACTACTTTAAAGTTGCAGCTTACGCTGATGACACGACAGTGGGCTTAGGCTCGCACGTGGACTGGAATAGGTTTCTCGCCCTTATGAGAAAATATGAAGAGGCATCAATGCAAAAATCAATTGCAAAAAATCAATAATTGTTCCCCTCACGAATAACGCCAGAAGAACAGAACTTGAAGGTGAAGACTTCTTCAAAAAGATAGAAGAGGGAGAGAATATAATAGCTCTAGATTATACGTTTAATACGGCAGGTCAAATAGACAAAGATACTTGGCCGAAATTAATAGAAAAGGTAAAGCGGTTAATAGAATCAATGACCTCTAGAAACCTATCCTATAGAGGAAAAATTTTGCTAGCAAAATCTATGCTGCTATCGTGTATATGGTACACTATATACATACTACCACCAAATTATAAACAGACCAGAGAGCTTAACAACTTGATGTCAGAATGGATAAAGAACAAGTCCAAAACCCTACCGAGATTATCGATCTATCAACAAGATTATGATCTAGGGGGACTCAAAGCACCCATTATCAAACACATGATAGACGCCAGACTTATGTCCATCTGGATAAACTACTAACATCAGATAACATGTGGGCAAGAATAGAGAGAGGCATAATCTCTAGCAAACTACACAATAAATGTAATATAAGCATTAGAACCGCACTTAACACCTCTCCAATCAGAATAAGAGGGTGGCCAGAGCATTAGAAAGTCTACGTTAAGGCGTGGAGGAACTTAGAGGGAAAAATAAAAGCAACTACAGAAAACGGGCCGTGGAAATTAACAGACATAGAAATCACACAAGCAAACGGTGAAGAATACTCAGTAAAAGAAGCAACAGACTTCTTGAGGAAAAAGCTCCTGACACCAACGGCCTCTCTCACAAACCAAGGGACATCCACACAATCACAAAGTCCTTGGTTGTGGTCAAATAAATGTTTTATAGAAAACAAAAAGAAGGACGTCTTCTGGTGCTTACTACATAGAGCACTACCGCTCGGGTACAAGTTATCACATTTCTCTAACGCAGAGGACGGTAGTTGCCCGTACTGCCCGGGAACAAAACAAACAATAGATCATTTCTCGATCGAATGCGGTATCAGAGGCTAGTATGAAACACCCTATACTCAGCTACCTTAATAACGAACAGTCACCCACCCACATTGTTGGAAGAAGTAACAAATCTCAGTAATACTGAAAATTCCAAACTAAACAATGCATTAAAATAGTTACATATCTTCAGAATATATGAAATCTGGTACTACTATACGCAAGCAAATGGGGATTTTCACCGATCCCAGAACCAGTGATCCAACACTGTACGAAACTCCGACTACGAAGGGCTCTAAACGCGCTACAAAATGGAAAACCAAATGGCCGAAGTATACTTCACCACATAATGTTATAAGGAAAAAAAAAAAAAAAAAAAAAAAAAAACTCTATCGATATATTTTGATTATAATCTTGTAAATAGGTACAATATAGTATATTAAAATGTAAATTAAGCAGTATTAAGTAAATAAAAGAAAAAAATGCCAATAGTGTCCCATAGCGCTCTTGCTAAAGGGTTTAAAACAAAAAAAAAAAACCTATAATTATGTGTGTTAGTTTATCAATTTAAACTCTTTAACCTTAATCACTGTTGAAGCTATAATGGTTCAAGACCCTATAAAGTTTTCCCGGTCGTAACACCGGCCTGGCCAATGTATTGTTAAATTTTCTTTGGTCAATAGAAATGCAAGAAAGCATAAGATGAAATGGTTGAGTAGGGTTTTAATTTTATTCAGTGTGAGAACATTTTATTTTAGATCTTTTCAAAATGATTTCCATACACCCATGGAAATCCGGAGATTGAATAGTAAACATTAGAATCTGTTTCCCTAATTATTTGGAATTCCTGATTCCCACGGAAATATGAATGAAAAACGGCTTCAGTGTACGACACTTAAAGACCAAAATCACGTGATTTTCCCATTTCAAAAAATTTATTATTAAATTTTAATGTCTTTGCAGTTTTGTGCATTCTGATTGGCTATTTTTTTTAATTTTTTGCAATTTAATAGGTTAAAATTTTTACTAATTAATATTTTTAGAAATTGACTAATAGCAAGAGGCCAAACCATGTGACTTGACCCATTTTTCTTAAAATTTTGAAGTATTATATAAAATTAAGTATATTATTAAAATATTATAAATTAAAAAATTATACAATAATTATTTCAAAAATAAAGCCACTATGTTGTAGTTAATTAAATTAGCTATAATTTGGCAGCTTTCTTTTCTTTGTATCCTTTTTATATTACAAGCTATTGGCTTTTGAAATTATTTTAGTCTTTAAGTTTCATGTACTAAATAATATAAAATATTTATATATACTTTATTTAAAATTTAACAAACATAATTACCTAAAAAAATAAATTGTTAGGATAAAAATAAAGGTATAATTAGAGTTAGAATTAGAGTTAGAATTAGGGTAAATTGCAAGAGAAACATTTTTTATTAGTAATACAATAAATAATCATCTTAGTAAATTTTAAAATATTGATTAATTTTTTTTTAAAAGATAATTTCTGTTTGTATGTAGTATATTTATACAAAGCTACATAAAATACAATTTGTAAATCAATTTTTTGTACAACAAATCAAAGCAAAATATTAAAATTTAATTATATCTTAAAAATTGTTTATAAAACTACTTTTGAAGAATTATAAAAAAATTTTTTTTCAAAATTTTTGTATAAACTACATATGTTTTACTTCTATTTATGCTTCTAATACTGTTAGTTAAAATTAATTTTAATTTGTTTATTTTAATAAAAATTGGTTTAAATTATATATTATACAAATACTATATATAAATATGCAAAAATAAAATGGGTGCTACTGGTGACTCTATTAAATAATATTAGCAAATTTTAAAATTTTTCTAGTAATAAATAGATATTTAATATCTTAA